CAATGGTAACCATGGTAGCCTTCATCCTATCTTCACAATGCATATGTAATTCAGTTCTCTGGAAAACATAATTAGTGCATAGCATAATATATTCTCTCCAAACACATCACCGTGGTATGAAATACACTAAATCAAAGCAAATGATGCCTACAACCTCCACCCAACTGGGCTACCATTGCTGAGCAGCTACTTTACAAATGAATATACTCTTAAATAGTTTTGCTGCAGCATCCCCAACTTGCATAGTACTGCTGCTTTACTCGTGTGCTTTTTCTTTATGACCAAAGGGTGGCAATGTTCTGCTTGTTATCAACGTGCCTTAGACAGTCAATAGCACCGTACACACTCAAGAATAGTAAAATCTCTTTCCAGCCAAGCCAGAAAGCTCTGCATCATTAACTGGTGTGCTTACTAGGTCCCAGTACTTCAGTGATGACCCCTTCAGTTACAGTAACACAAATATTAAAATACCATTTGAGTTGAAATCCAATGAGCTGTGTGAAAGTACATTCGTGTATATCTCCTTGTGAGGAAAATTAAAAGGCATATGCAGCTTAAAAACAAAGTGTGGTCTCTGTTCCCCATCACATATAATCAGGCCTTATTCAGGATGCCTCTCTTGGTTTTGTACAGGACAGTTACTGTTGTCCAGGAAGTGAAAAGTGTCATTAGCCTGGCTGCTCAGAAGGTGTCACCCAGCCTCTTGAGATTTTTACAGAAGCCTATTTAACTCATTTGAGGAGGGGATTTGCCAGTTGTGAATATTGAAGTCATCCAAAACATCTGTCAAAGAGGCCTTAATACCACACCCACAAGGACTGTCAGTGCACAAAACACATGGGAAAAACAGAGTGCAGCTGTTATTTCTCTAGTTAGCATACCAACAACAACTGCATTACTTATTTAATGGAATGAACCAAGAATAATCACATGTAGGAATAAACTGCTACTCTTGTGCTGGACCCACTCCTGTGATTACCAAACACAGGGTGTCCCACACCCAACTGTTCAGACACTGTTTCCATATGAGACTAAATAAGAAAGGATGTTTTTCCTGGTGTTTCACAGGGAGATGTTTTTCAGTATCAGCAGTAAAGTGGGAGGTCTAATACTAGATTATATAACTATTTTGTATAATTATGTGGGTATTTTAAGAAGATTGATGGTTATGGCATTAAAGCAAAGGCAAAAGCAGAAAAGCCAGGAAAAAAGAGGAAGATGGTCTAGATAAAAGGCATCCTTCCAAATACACTGAAGAGGCCAGACTGGGCATCATGATCTTTCTGATGAGGCTGAGGAGAAAAAGTTACAGTAAGAGATCTAGAGAAATATGTCAATTTTCAAATGCTGCCAACTATTACCTCTTAAATTACTATTAGCTATGAAAACCAAAATGAGAGCTGTTTCTCCCAAAAAAAAAATAAATAAAAAGAGCAAGAAGATGTCCAGACATGTCCAGGATAGTTTGTACTTAGAAGACATGAAAGTAATTTAATCCTTCATGTGAATGAGTATTGATTATGTTTACTGAAGTATTAGAAATTATGCTTTCATTAAGTGTGGGACATCACTGTGTCAGATGTAATGCAGACATTCACTACACCTCTGGTAAAAATTTCAGACAACTGGTTTTGGGTCCCAAATCAACTTAGCAAATATGATATGAAGTAGTTGCCTGGCAGCAAACTCAACTTAGCCCAGAATTCTTAGTAACTTTCATGTTTACAATCTTCTTCATGTACAATATTCTTCATTGTACACATGGATGAGGGGAAACACTTTCCAACTCATAACAAAAAACTTTGTAACTGCTATAATATTTTTTGAATGGTTTTGATAATATTACTTGACCTTTCTTTTATACCAACAACGTGCTATGGACACTTTTCTCCTCACAACCCCTTGGGATGTGGTAGTGCTGTTATGAGAACAGGGTGAACTGACATTTCCACTCACACATTGTCACCACACCAGGTGACAGCCTTGTGCCCCAGTCTACAAGGATAACAGATGCAGATCTCCATATCAGATATTTACAGCAAAAAGTAGCATTATGATCATAAAATTCCAGCCACACACACACTGATAATCCATGTGCATCCGATTCCACACATTTTGACATTTAGATATGGGGGCTAATGGAAAGAAACAGTATTTCTGTCAAATGACAGTGCTATAAAACAATTTGTAAGATAACAAAGCCATTGATTTCAATTATATAGAACCACAGAAACGGCCACTGTTAATACTGTAATGCTTAAACAGACATATCACACTTTCCTTTTACAGTCATTACAAAATTTATTTGTCAAAAAAATGGGAACAACTAGTAAAATAGTAACATTTTATATGCAAAAGCATGTTAGTTCAGGAAAAGCTATTTATCTTCACGCAGGTGATGACAATTATTTTGTGCATTTACATTAGCTTATGTATCATCAAGTAAGCGTTATATGACACACACTTTACACATTTCTTAAGGTACAGTATTTAATTACGTGTTTTTCTGTCTAATCTCATCATGTCAGCAACTCTAAGAAATGCTTTTAGAGTGGCTCTAATAATTGCTGGGCTCACTAGACATAGATTCATCCACTTGTGGCCAGTTATCCTGGGACATAGGAGAAATGTGAATTAGTGAGCACAAAAAGAAGCAAAACAAATTTAACTCAGTTTTAGGTTAGAATTTGGGAGAAGTAAGATCACAAATACTATTTGCCATACATTATATATTCTGTTTCTGTTACATAAACTTGGCTTTGCTTTATGTAAAACGCCCAGGCAATACTATCTGTGACTGCAGAACATTTTGAACCAACTCTACTAAAAAACGGATTATTGAGTCCTCAGAATAAGAGTTTTTATAACTCATCACATGAAAAAGTAAATATAGTATGGGAGTGGGGGAAAAGGAGTTAGTGGATCTTGAGAATGGTAATTAGGTACAGTTAGCTGTCCCACAGTGGCTAGTGCTAAATATCTGGGGAAATCTTACAGCCATATAAGTAACAGAAAGACATGTTAGAAGTCCTATTATTATCCTAAGTAATATAATTTAAGCATTAACACAGTAAAATGTTGGAATATTTTAAATGCCTTTAAATGCTGAAAACAAATTGTCTTAGTCATTAACTGTCAAATAATAGAAATTTTGTCTATTCATTAAGATTATTTAATATTGGTGAAATTCTTTGACTACCATTTAATTACTTGAAATTCAAAATCATTCAGTCACTCTTTTTGAAGAGAGACCTTCTTCAACTGTCAACATATCAAATATTTACCAAACATGGATACAAACATGTACTGAATAAAGTGTTCAGATGTATGCACTAGAACTGAGTGCTCTTTTCAGAGTCTCTGGGTTTTGGTACAGAAAAGATATCACATGATTCACTAGAAAAGAATTTTTTAAGCATTACAGGAACATCTCAAGAAAATCAATGGCCATAAACATGAACAATCTTGGAAAACTGAGAGTAAAGAGCCTAAAAAAGCTTCTTCCACTGAAGTGCACTCGAAAGACAAAACAATCATCATTATTTAAACAAAGGAGAAACTGTTGAAGTCACCATGAGCAGAATTTCACTCCAGAGATCTTACAAAGAAGTTACTCTTTTCCTTAAAGTTTAAATAGCAAGTTTCTGGATCAGTATCCACAAGTTTCAGATGCAATTCCAAGGTATGATATAATGCAAGATGCCTACAGATACTAACTCACAACCAGGCAATGCAGTTAAAATATCGTAGTGATTTGCAAACCAGGAAGGTTTTATGAACCACTTCAGATCACCTCCCATATTTTTAATGTACTATATATATATATTTATACAACAAAAGGAAAATGAAATCAGCACGACACCAGCATTAGTCTTTTTGATGTCTGCAGCATACCTAAGACTTCTACCTTACTACACCTTAAAACTTTCTGACAATTTGCAGACTTTCTGAACATTTTGAAAGTGTCCAAAAGCACTTACAAACTTGAGGCTTATTTTTCTTATTTTGGGAGGAGGGATCACGTTATTACTAGGATTAGGTACATATTTTGCAGCAATTTGCCTAGTCTGCAATAGAGGCCTATGCCAGCTACCACCCAAACATCCCTGAGTCGATCCCTTGTCCCAAGATCTGAAATTAAATACAGTCTACATACAGCAAAGATACAAATTCAAGCTCCAAGACTTGTGCTTAACATACATAGCAAACCTTACAGTGATTTATATTCAAAATTCTAGCTACATTCATGAGAAGAAAAATCATGTGAGAGCTTTCCAGTCAGGTCTCTGTTCAAGACTTTTCTCCTACACTAAAGAGGATAAAATACCCGTTTCTCCCTTTTTGTTAAGCAAGATGCCATTAAAAAATTTGAGGACAAATGGAATTATATATCATATATAACAGTTTCACACAAATAGTCATTCGGAGAGATAAGTAGTGGCTTATGCTACGTAAAAAATAAGACTTGCATTAGAAAAACAGCTGCTGACAGTAACTGCCCAAGTGATAATAAAGGCATGATAAAACAGCTTGCCACTAAGGTGAGCATTTACAAACTCTGAGACCTATTACTACTGACTTTTTTACTAGATCACATTGTAAAATGTGTAGAATGTCTCTGAGCATCCTCTAATTGCCGTCAACAACATTCTGTTAGTAGGAGCTAGAACAGAATATTCTGGTATATGTCATTACAAGTCCCTTTGAGCAGACCAGTTAGATCCATTTTAAATTAAGTGTATTTAAAGTGTATTGTAAAATGCAGCAATGATTAACTGGGAAAAAGTCACTCAAGAACTGAGTTTTTTCTTTGAACAACCTTGGTTTACAAATCCTGTCATTTTTCACTATAGATGTGAGTTGTCATTCAAGGGAAGCTGTCACTGTACTGACACTTTCCAACATGAGCTCCAGGGTAATTGTGCTGATTAGGAAACAAAATATTCATGTCCCATTTGAATGAATGGAAAAAATTGTAAGACAAATTTGTGCTTGGTTACCTTAATAATGTGCCTTGTCTTCTGATGTATTCCCATGGGAAGTGTAATCACGAAGGTATGCATCACATAAACCAACTTTAATGCCTTTTCATATGTAGCTCACTCTTCTTTCCAGGGCTGTAATCACTTAAAATGTTTACTGCAAGTTCATACATCCAGTTTCTGGAACTCAGAGAGGGCAGTGGATCAGGCACAACAGTACAGCACCTAAACATAGAAACATACCAGCATCAATTAAAAAGTAGTAGAAATCACAAATAGAACAACAGAAGCATAAAAATAACTTGGGTTTTATTTGTTGGTTTTCCCCTTCAACTTCCTCCTGAAGTTTCCAAAAGATTCAGCAAACCCAACATTTTTATCAGAACCAAATAACACACAAATCTGCCATAAGTACTAGTTTATCTACCATAAATGTAATTTACAGAATCTTGAGTAAAAACAATCTTAATAGAAATCAGACATCTGAATTTTCCTGCCAAGCTAACAATTTCTGTATAAGAATCCCAAGTCTATCTGGAGAAATCTTGAAAAACATCCACAAGAAAGTGGAGAAGCTTACCCTGCTATGCTAAAAGCTACCAGCAAGGGATAATTCTCTCCCTCCTTTTTCATTCACAATGGTGTTCTTGGGAACAGATTTATTTTGTGCTTGCAGTGTCTAATAACAACCGTTATGCATTTATTTTCCCGCAATCCTGACACAGTAATGTTATCCTACTTAACTCTGTGACTCTTTCTGACATAAAAATGCACCCACCATGACATCCTTTAATACTGTAACAAACTGGCAGTGACCGAGGACTCCACGGCTGTTCCCAGAGCACACGCCGGTTGATTTAACTCCCCCATGGTGCTAATGGATAGAAGTCATTACAACATAATTGCTAACAATAATATAAACCCTGTAAAATAGAAAAAAAAACAATTTTAATGCTAAGATTGGCAGACACGTAGCTTTCAGAGACAAGTATTTAAAGCAGCCCTTCAAATAGAAGAACTGCTCCATTGCTTTATTCCTCACATCAGTATACTGATATTTTTCAGACACTCCCCCCATAGTTCCATTTCAGCACAAAATTAAGTTGGCTTTGAAACCCAGCATTAGTAAGTCTCATTCCCACGAAACCACCCTCACCTTCTACTCATATCTCTACTGTGCTTCTGTGGCTTTGTTGGAGTGCCCATCACATGCCTCCTCATACAGATCAAAAGAAAATTATGGCTCTGCCCATCGTTTAAGAGAATTTCTTAGTCATTATTAAGCTCCACAAAGTTCACTTTTTGCCCAAATAAATTTTACTGGGGAGGGAAAGGGGGGGAAGATACTAAGAGAATAATGGCTACACACAGTTAGAAATGTTGATTTTTTTTTGCAGCAAAAGATTGTTAAGCGTAAAAAAATTAGACATTTCTACCAGTCATTTCCTGCTCTCCCTAGATACCCCTTAAAATAGGGTTTAAAAAGTCAAACTCTTGCTAGATATACAACTTCCTATATAAAGTTCCCTGAGGTTCTCATGAATTTTCCTTTTTATGCCCAAACCATCATGTGTTTGTAGCTTGGTACAGTGAACCTGGTGAACTGGTTTATAGTTTAATTAAATAAAAAAAAAGGAAGGGAACAATGGGAGATGGGCCAAAGAAAAATACTAGTACACAGCACGAAAATCATTTAGAGAGGGGTCATAATGTGATAACTGAGGGAGCAGAAATCAAGCTGGTGCAGCAGACACCCCATTCAGCCCCACCACTAAAATGTCACCTTTTCCTGAGTGGATGAATGAAATCAGAAGAAAAAAAGCCACTTGGATATATTTGAGCTTTGCATTTATCTGAAATTAAAACACCACCACCAAACCCAACCCAAAATTTATGGTGATTTGATCCAGCTTAATATAAATGAGAAACAGAAGCTAGGAAACACAAGAGAAAAACAGAGGAAACTAGAGAGGAATCCAAAGTATCAGAACCTTATCAGAAGCTGAAAAGTTGGACAGGGAGATGACACAGGCAATGGCATCAGTCCATTAGAAAACAGAGAGGAAAAATCAGCACTAAAGCCTAAGCCCAAAACCTATGTGTGTAATGTCTTTGGAAAACCCAACTGTAAAAAAGAAGTATTAAAATTCCTGAGGTACTAAAGAAATATATTTAGAAAACAGAGCAAATACTAATGATAAATAGTTTTGTTGCTCCTTTCTTATGGGTGAGGAATAAATTAAAAACACAAAGCTGAAAAGCTTCCTTCAACCATATTTTTCTATGATCTGCAGTTGTTATATCACAAAAAGAGGTACTTAAAAGAAATTTTACTTGTATTAAAAATTAAAAGCTTATGTCTCTCTTATTTAGGCAAAAACACACCCTTAGTTCAGAAGGTTTTGAAATATTTGTTTATTCAGGCTTGTTACCTATTCTGTGTTTTTATAGCCTTCTAAAATATGAAGTACCACACCGCATAATAGCTTTTCCAGTCTTCTCTGAAAATCCTTCCCAAACAGTAGCCTTAATCCCTTCAAACACTTGTCCAACATTCCCTGCATGCATTGACACCATGGAATGTCTTCCAACACTAAAGAAAAATACTAGCATGGTATTTATTTTGTTTTTCATTTTCATTGAGCTGCAAGTCACACTTGTAAGATAGTGATTAGTTCCTGAACGACTAACCTATCATGTATTTAAGGTAGACAGAAGACAGCTTGAACTGTTTATTCTGTATTTTTATTGTCAAAAGAGAAAGAGTGGGTTTCTTTTTGCAATTTCATGCTGATTAAATTTGGTATTAATATGAAAAACTTAATCAGTGGGACTACCCCAAATATTCCTAAAGATATAAGCCACAGAGGAATATGTCATCCTTTACTTTCAATAACAAAATGAAAAAATAAAACAAGGAAACAAGCTGGCATAAGAATGTCATAAATATTTTTCAGAGGAGACACTTTTTATACAGTATTTTTACTCCTCACAAAAATCGAGTGATAGGCATGAAGTGGGTGAGCAGTGGGATGCCTTGTCTGATTCCTCTTTGATTTGCTCAGATTATTTTGCTCTTGCTGGAAGAATTGAAATGAACATACAGGATTTTTTGTTTGCTTCACAAATGAAAGCTTGTCTTTCCCTTAACTTTCTCCATGACAGAGTCTCCAATCCAACTCCAGCTGTGGGCAGCACTTTTTGTCTGCAATCACTACCAGGAACAGTGCTGGCACTCAGATGCAGCAACACAATCCAGTGTTGGCTAAATCCACATAGGAATTTGTATTAGATATAACCCAGCAATAAAAGACCATATTTGAAAACAGACTGCTTGGATGAGTTCCTCATCTACCTGTAAAACAGCAGCTAGAAACCCAAGAGACTATTTAAAATAAGGAAGAGGCATTCAGTCTGGGAATATCAGAGCATTGGAAAGACTCAAAATTCATTTTTCACAATTCGTTCTTCAAACTTAACAAACATGCCAATCTAAAGTTGCATTTTTTGAAAAAGAACTATGTTTCAGAGTCACATAAAACTTCTGAAATACAGTGTGATTGAATAGAGGACCACTCTGAAACCCATAAAGTTCACATTTTATGCTAGTTTGGCTTTTTTTACATTCCTTGGAAAACTATCATTGTGTCAGCTGCAGTTCTGTATAATTTGGGTACGTACTGCTGAAACCTATTACACACTGTAAAAATGAAAAAAAACCCCAAAATTTTAATTATGTAAAGTTTTGCATTCACCAGGGTCAGGGGAAACTTTTTATTTTGCAGGAAGGCCCTTTCATGTGAACTTCCCCTTCATTTCTGCTGCATTTTTCTGTATTTTACCCGTCCCGCTGGTTTTAACACAAATTACAAGCAACTCATGTGTCACTTATTCACAAGGGCTCCAATATGCAAAAACAAAACCAGAGTTAGTTGAAGACAAACTAGGGTAATGTGAATGCAGTGGAACACAGTGATTACAGCAGGAGGAGCTCCAAAGTATTCTAAACAACCCTTACTCTACAGAGGGGAAACTAAGAGTAAACAAGACAACGTACAAACTGAAAAGTACTATGTATGGCTCTTCCATTTGCTTACTGCAAAACAATGATATTTTGCCTTTTTTATCTAACTTTGCATCTCCTATTGGGAGAGGGGAATTTTTTTTTCTACGGTTATTGTAGTGAAAGCTCCAACTGAAATTAAAGGCCACAGGTTAGCAGAGCTCAGAAGGAAATATATTCAACTCTATCCCTGTTGAAGCACTACAGTCTTCATGCTGACTTCTGTTTAAATATGGGGAAAATGACTCCTTAAAAAAAAAAAAAAAAAGTGAATTTGAAACCACTTCTGATCAGTGGGATCAGAAAACAGCCACTACTTCTTAAGAAGAATTGGTCAGAGGACAACTGAATCAAGGCTAAAGCAGCAGCGGTAAGACCTAGGTGAAAAATAAGAATACTGATCAAATTTCTAGCATTACTTAACTCACTGGCTCAGGCACTTTAGGCAAGCAAGAGATTTGGGAGATAGATTGTCAACCAATATTACCTCAAATAGCTCCAGCACAGCTGAGTTACCCAGGTTTACAGAAGCTTTTGATCTCTGAGAATGAAGGATTTTCAGAAATCTCTTAAGTTTCAAACCTGTGAGGAAAGTGATACAGTTTGGGATGACAGGAAACACTGAGATGGAACAGAAACCATTCTCAATAAAGGGAGAAGTATAAACACACACAAGCCAACAGAACATTACAAAAATTCAAACTGCAAAAATGAACTATTAAACGTCCAATTCAAACCAGATTTTAATTCAGTCTTTCAGTTCTCCAATAATAATTGCTGTCCACTAATTTTCCAGGCAACCACCACGCTGCTACTTCACATGCAAGCTTTTGTGGAATAACTTTCATATTGTGAGGTGGTTATTTTTTAAACCTGCATAACTGAAATCCACAGAGTTTCTATTCACTGCTGCTAAATACCTATTCAAATCTTTTTGGTAGAAAACATTTAGAAAGAGAAATCATGATTATTTCATAAGGAAATCAAACTTACATATAATCCTTGTTCTCACATAGCCTTTCTGCTCTCTACTCCCTCAGAAAACTTTTAAATCTGAAAAGCTGGTAAAACTACTGTTATATGGCTTAGTTCCAAAAAGAGAGCAAAAAAAACTCAGTATGAAAAAATCTTATTGCCACTGCCCTTGAGAAGGAGAACAGAG